TGCTCCTGTGAAAAAAGAAACAGATTTACTAGGCGGGTGAGAAAGAACTTGGCTTGCTGCTCACACACACTGTCAACATTTGCTCCCTGTAGTTACAGCCTGCACTACCGAGTCAGCCTGGACTTTATGTGGAACTTTACATCGTGGGGACCAAACTCAAACCTTACAACTCCAACGTGACAGAAATGGTCAATCGTTACATCAATAAAACATAAAGTGAGATACAGCACAGTGATGTAAGGGACAGAGTGTGAGGAGCAGAGGACTCTCAGGTCCATCAGCGGATCATCGTGCAGGCTGGATGAAACCCTGGGCTGATCTGACCTCACTGTGACCCTGCTCCTGTCTGTCTGAAAGAAACTCAGCAGGCAGAAACCCACAGTCTAACAGAACACAAGTCCATGAGGTCCAGTCATGGAACCAGCTCTGGTGACATCACCGGGACCAAAGATGGCACTAAAATGTTTCTTTATAGTGGCAGGAAATGTTTGTCCCCGTCGGTGTGTCACTGCAGAAAGGAGCTAAACAGTCAGCTCACGTTTGCCCTGAAGTGCTACAGCAGAAAAAGCAGGTCGTAAACATCATCTAAAATTCTGGTACAATTTAAATTAACATACATGTTAAACACAATTTTTTTTTTTTACCAGATCGAGTCAAGTCCAATATCAGAAATCATACATTTGCCTTAAGGGGCTTTACAATCTGATCTACAATCTGTCCTTAAGGCCTGAAACATCCCAAAAATGTTTAACAGGAAAAACATGGAAGCATCTTCAGGAAGAGCAGCAGACGAGGGGCCCCTCCTCCAGGACGGACAGACAGGAAACAGATATCAACCTATCAGATGAACACATGGCTGTTAATTAGCCCTCTGTCCCTTTTGTCTCTGTCTAATGAGGAATTTAAAGCACAACTCCATGATTATTAAAGTAATCATGATCAGACTGACACAGGCCTATTGCTTCCCCGCTTTGTCCTCCACTCTGGATGATGGAGTTTCTCATTAATTAACAACAAGCCCAGGGCCTTTAACGCTGTTTAAAAAGCGCCTTAATAGTAGATAAATTACATTTTGTGTTATTGTGGCGATGGGGTCATTTCAAAATGGGTGTGCTCTTTAATTAATGTGGATGTTGACAGTAGCAGCCTGGTGAAATCTAATTTAATCTGGTCATTCACAGATACATGTAGCCAGACAGTGTGTGTCCCTGTGTCTGTGCTGCCGTGACAGGACGCTGGTTTGCAGTCTCTGGTGTTTCTTCTTCTGAGTTACCGCTGTACAGAGTAGCAGTGCGCCATGGGAACTGGCCTGACATGTAGAACTGCTGTGAGGTGTTTCACCTGAGTGACTCATGTTTTTGTGTCTCCATCAGGTATAAGGCCATAGTGAACCCGATGGACATCCAGACATCCAGCGCTGTCTTCTGGACATGTCTCAAAGCTGTTTCTATCTGGCTTATGTCCGTCCTGCTGGCTGTTCCTGAGGCCATCTTCTCACAGGTCGTCCCCATGCAGGTGAAATAATGACAAAGTACTTTGTCAGTTTGTGAGAACATTCATTTAATCATTAATTATTCAGTATAGATCCACTGAGAGGCTGTCTCTCATTTTGTCCTCTCCCCTCTCAGGGTCTCAGGGACAACACTAACATCACCTTTGTGAACTGCGTGCCGTACCCTATGTCTAACCAGATGCATCCTAAGATCCACTCAGTGATGATCTTCCTGGTTTACTTTCTGATCCCTCTGGTCATCATCTCGGTGTATTACTACCACATTGCCCGTACACTCATCAAGAGCGCCCACGACATGCCGGGGGAAGTCAGCGACCACACCAAGAGACAGGTGACTGACCGGTGAATGGATGGATGAACTGACAAAGTGATGTTTTATACTGCAGGTTTTCATTTATGGAACTGTTCATATAGAAGAGGTATAGGAGTACCAGGGTGAAGGGTTGTTGTCTCCGGTTTTTACCTGTTTTCAAATGCAGATGTTGTCATTGCAAAGGCTCACAGCTGGAACAGCTGGTGTATTGTGACCCTCTGTCATTAGTCCTTCGATTCAGATCATTTTTATAAAACAAATTACCTCAGTAGCTTCACTTGTTTTAGTTGACTGGTGACTTTGACCCGTTTCAACTGACTCAAGACCTGACTTGGACTTATTTTAAATCAGCCGAGAGTTAAGTTGGCCTTGTGCCAAATGAATCCAAGAGAGCGGAGGCTGTTCCAGCAGCAAATTACAAAGTGACAACCACATGCGTCCACATACTTTTGGCCATTTTGTGCAAATTAATTCCTTGATTAAAAGCCACTAAATCAAGAGACAGCAGATAGATTCTCATGTGCCCTGAAATCAAACACACATAACTCTTAACTGCCAACATGAACTTGTCTTGTCTTGGATTTGTTCTGCATCCTCCTTTCTCTGTCTCTCCTCTTCCTCGGTGCCTCAGCCCAGCACGTCACATAATTCATCTTGTTCAGGTTAAATCTATCTGTCAGCCCTTGTAGAGAGCAATGCTATCGATCTGCCTGGATCTTCACATCTTTAGAGGATGGAAGCCAATTGCTGCATTCACTGCATCAATACCAAACGCACCCAGTCTCTTATCTGAGGGCAGAGCTAATTTATTGTGTTCCCACAGAAAAGACTTACATTATAGGGCACACACACTTAGAGCAGGTGCATCCCTACACATGTGCCAGAGCTTGAAGGTTATAGACGTGGGTCAGTAGCTTCCATGTAACCAAGGAAAACTACAGTCTCCTCTGAATAATCTGAACAAACAAACAAAAGCATCTGAATCAAACTTTTTCAGAAACCGAGAAAACTGCCTGTTAATTGTCAGCGAGGTGTGTATTAAGTCCACCTGTATCGGAGTAGTCCTACAGTACAGACATGTTTCACTTGACAAAATATTTAAGGACTCAAAAAATAAGGTTTAATACATTTGGTAAGATATCATATGAATATTGATAACTTGTGTAACACCTTCAAGTTTCTGATGATACACACTGATTTACTACAGACGAATCACGGCACAGTCTCTGTGACTCGGCATCACCGACATGACTCTAATTTTCAGTGACAGTTAGCTGACAGCTCCAGGATAAACAATAATTGTGGCTCAGGCACTGGACAGAAATAGCATGAAACTGTCACTATTTTCTGTCAGATTTGGCTGCAGGGTCAAACTGGCCAGAGGTTATTGTGGCCGTGGATGTGGCAGGTGGCACAGACCGAGCTCTGTGTCCAGACTTATAGACAAAACAACATCTAAAATCTATGTTTTGCTTTGTGGGCTTTAGACATAGCAAAGTCCAACAACTGAGCTTGTTAGGGAGGTTCGTGGACATGCCCCCTTCCACCCCACCCTTTCAAAAAATGTGACCTGATTTATATATGTGTCTTTTAAGATGTTTGGAGGGCGAAACCCATTCTCTTTACAACCATGTTAGTGTGCAGCAGCATAAACAACCTGTCAGGCAGTAATGCATGAGCACCAGGTAAAATGTTGCAGTGAATGATCCTCAGTACAACCTGGAAATACAGAAGAGGCTAAGATGATCCATGAGTGTTTGAATGTGACCAGTCACTGACTTTGGGTTGATCAGATGCCCATCCTGTCCTGGGCACAGTGGGCACTGTCTGCTCTTCCTCTCTCATCTCCATCACCTTCTCCTCATCTTGTCCAGAATCTCCTCCCTCCCTTTTACTGACACAGTCTTTTTATTTTCGTCTCAGTGGAGAAAATAAACAGGCTGTCGAAGGATATTAAATGTTGCCGACCGCCACTAGAAAATAAAAACACACAGGGCAGTAGTGAAAGAAGCAAAAGTAGAAACACCACAGTCTAGAATTACTCTGTTACAAGTAAAGAAAAGCAGTCAGGGTGTGTGTCCCTGTGACGTCCCACTGTAAATGCAGATGATCAGACCTGCAGCCAGGTTTCTGTCAGACCACATGTGTTTCGACTCACGTCCTCAGCCAGACATGTTGAAGCTGCACTAATCAATATCCGTATAGGAACAACATATCAAGAGGGTGTGTGATGAGAAACGACTCACTCATAATGAGGGACCCACAGAAACGACCACTAACTGCCGTCTCCATCAGATCCACGGCGCTCGCTGTGTCTTTACAGCCTGGTTCAGTTTCAGTGGGCAGCAGTTTGTATCCATCACAGCCTGACATGAACAAGAGGCAGCAGACAAATCACAGCACACCAGAAGACAAACAGATTGATGTAACTTTTCATCGCAGTGATTGGTTTGAAAACCTCAGTCCGGATGCATCACCATAAACCTTATTATATTAGAGTTTCCCATGACTGATGCATGACTGACGAGAAACCAGAGCTGCTGCTTTGAAACAGATTGCGGCTGTTGCCATGAATGCGGCATAAAGAAAGTAAATGATGTACAGATGGCCGAGTGATAACGACAAATCCTGGGTGCCGTCTCTTCTGGCTGACTGAAGCAGCTGTCTGTAGCTTTCCAATCTCCAGTCAAGGACTTTGATGTGTGTGTGTGTGGATGAAGCCTCTAATCAGTGCTTCACAACAACATCTCCAGCTGAAGCTTTCTGCAGCGAGCGAGACGTGGAAGGACAAACACAGTGACGTGAACACAGGGAAAACTGCAGCAAGAGTTGTTTCAGCAACAACATATGTTTAAGTTTTATATCACCAAATCAGAAACCGAGTGTTTTGTCAGTTGTAAGACCTGTTAAGACCCATCACTGAAGACGTTTTTTTTTTTTCTCTACAGTTTTTTCTGCTTTCTGAGCTGAGCATGTATTTTTCTGCTATACGCCTTTTTCTAAGTTTTATTTCTGTTTCTGCCAACAAGGTTTGGATATCACTGTGTTTGTTACCTTTTCAACTAATAGAAGTTAAACCTCATGGTGGATGCAGATTAATAGTGCACGATGGGAGGCAATCACCTGCCTCACAGCATCTGTATTTCATCTGCAAACCCCTCAGTGTGACAAAAGCACAATGTTGGCTCTGGTTTCAGCATCTGGAGCACAAGAGAAATCAAACAACTTGACAGCTCACTGTGCTGCAGTCGGTCTGGCACATGCCTCTAATGGGAGCTGGCAGCCGTCCCAGGTGGCTCTGCAGGCTTCCCCCTCAGCAACAGAGGCGGCATTTCGCTGCTCTGCTGGGGAACTGAAGATTTCTGATCAATGAACTGATGATCAAGCTGATCACAGTAAACAAAGCTTTTGCAGGTGTGTGTGTGTGTGTGTGTGTGTGTACTGAATACACACATGAAGATGCATGCAAGAGAAAAATCTGCATTCATGCCTTTGAAAGTACACACACACACACACTCATGCACACAGAGTCACATAATCCAGCCTTCCAGATGAGTTGTGGCTGGAGCTGCAGAAGCCTAAGAGAATCCTGGGGAAAATGCCAAACTCTGCCGATCACTGGCAACAAATGAGCCCAAACACAAATCAGCCTGGAGCTCAGAGCTAACTTTCTTAAAATATACTTTAGTTTCTGGTCTGTAAAAGGCGGCTCAGTCCAGGTGAGACGCTGCTGGGCACTGATAAACCGACATCCATTCTTCTCTTGTTGAGTTTTAATCCTTAAAGAAATGTTCATTATGGAACCATAACTTCTATAAATGTAATCCGCTGTTTTCAACAAACGGCCACAATCCTCTTATTGGGTACGAATGACTTGTGGATGGTGCTCAGTGTTCCAGAGGTGCCCGAGGGTCAAACTCCAGAAACTCAGCGAACCTGGCCACAGGTCGGATGTCACGTCACCACAGACGCTGTAAATGTTACAGAGCATTTATCAACTAACATCTCGGCGCTGACCAAGGTCTTGTCACATTGGGTGTTTTCTGAATCAGAACCAGAATCGTCTTAATGGCCCAGGATGTTTGAACATACAGGAATCAGAGGCTCTCAGTGTGCTCTAAGGCAACGAGAACAGAAAGTAGCAATGAGAATAAAAATACAAATACAGCAATAAAATGAGAATAGACAGTGTGAGCATTCAGGTAGAAAGAAAATAGGAAAGAGACACGGTTTGTATAAAGAATTGGTTTCCCTGTTTCCAGTCTTCATGCTAAGCTAAGCTAACTGTCTGCTGACTCCGTGAACAGTGGGGGTTATGTACATCAGCCTGAGAACACTGGGATGATTCTGCAAATTAATTATTAAAAATTATGAGCATTTGAATTTTGATTGTGCACTCTTCATTTGGCTTTAGGGATTCCAGCAGCTGGTGCTTCCTACCTGCAGTGTGAATGAACCCTCCTGGCTCCATTTGATCCATCTCAGTTCAGATTTCAGCCTCCTATATTTTCTGATGTGGCTCTGCTTCATGGCTAAAGTTTTATTTACCAGAGAAACACAGAAGTCTGACATTTAAAAGTAGTTTACATGACTCTCAGCCTGCAGAGTCGACCCAGGCCGAACAACCAGGCAGCACAAACACAAATCCCTCCAGTCCTCAACACTAACATCACACTGCACCGGTTGACTGCTACTGACAAACGGTCTCTCCTTCCAGTTCATTGGAGTGGAGTCACAGCCAAAAGCAGGCAGGTGGGTGGAGAGGAAAAAACCTCTGCACCTGAGGAAAACATAAACATCACTTCAGTGAGTGCTCCATGTGGCCTTACATCAACAACATGTGTGCAGTGGAGCTGATTTCTGTGGCGAGAAGGTCTAATGAACTGTGTAGGATTTAAAACTGCAAATCAGGAAAAGTCGGGACGGTCCATAAACTCTAAGTAAAAACTGAAAACAGTGATTTGTAAACCATCTGTGTCCTGTGTTACATTGAAAACAATACAGCAGCACATTCTCTGATGTGACACCTCATCAATTTCATTATTAGTTAAAAATACACTCACTTCAACCCTGATGCCTGCAACACATTCCAAAACAAGTCAGGACAGTAAAGCGTTTACCACGGTGTGACGCTGCCATTCCTTTTCACAACACTTAAGAGACATTTAGGGACTGAGGACACCAGGTGATTCAATGTGTTAGGTGTCATTTTGTCCCATTCTTCCAGCAAACAAGTCTTAAAGAGCACAACAGTCCTGGGTCTTCATTGAAGCAATTTGCATCTCATATTGTACCGCACACTCTCTACTGGGGACGGGTCAGGACTGCAGGCAGGCCGGTCCAGCACTCGCCCTCTTTTCCTCCACAGCCAGGCCTTGGTAATGTCCAGTATGAGGGTTATCACTGTCTTGTTGAGATATGTATGGGCGTCCCTGGAAAAGAAGCCATCTTGAAGGCAGCATATATTGTTCCAACATCTCTCTGTGTTGTTCAGCTTTAATGGAGCCATCACAAAAGTGTGTCGTTTCTGATTTGGGGCTGTACGTCTGCTGTTCTTCACCTGCGCCTCTGAAAACATCAGGAGCGTGTGCATTAGCAGGTCTGACGCCTGCACTACCAGGAGAAGCACTCAGAGGAACATCGCTGACATTTTTATGTGTGTTTGTTGTTGAATCCTGATGTGCAGGGATGTGTAAATACATATGACTGACACACCTGACCTTTTTTATGGCTCTGGTCATCTCCAGTCCTCCACTGGTTGAGTTTGCACTTGGTTTCATCTCTTCCTCCATCCACCTCATCTGTTTCCATCTCTTTCATCAGACCGCTGGACATTTGGACGAAGATTTTATCATGTAAGTCCCAGTGGGAGTCAAACTTTGTCCTGCTAGGCACGATTACATTTTCCCACCAAAATAAGTGACTGTGGGTGTAAGAAAAAAACACTTTTAACCTTTTTACATTTACAGCGTGTAACTATTATAGAAACTCTAGTTTAGCACTGAAGGGTTTTTATGGACTTTCTACCTCCATTAATTCAACAACTGCCATAATAAATAAACGCCACCTAGTACCACAGAAAAATGACTGCAGAATGTTTCTTTCTTGTTCATGCCTCCGTCATCTTCACACCACGCAGCTGCTGATCCCTCACAGTCTGGTTTTATCTCCACCCCTCCAGATGGAGACGAGGAAGCGTCTGGCCAAGATTGTGCTGGTGTTTGTGGGCCTGTTCGCCCTGTGCTGGTTCCCCAACCACGTGCTCTACATGTACCGCTCCTTCCACTACCACCGGGTGGATGTGTCACTGGCCCACCTGGTCATCACGCTACTGGCCAGAGTTCTCAGCTTCTCCTCCTCCTGCGTCAACCCCTTCGCCCTGTACCTGCTCAGCGAGAGCTTCCGCAGGCACTTCAACAGGTCGGCTCTACCGCGCAGCTTTTCACCAGTAACAGTGGGTTTCACTGTCATATGTGTTTGCCCCTGAGCAGCATAACACTGTGCTCCCACATCTCACTGTGTCCCATCCAAAGGACAACATCAGATCAGTGCTGTTTTTACATACATGGGGGGATTACTGAATGGGCCTGCTGGGCCTGAGGGATCAGGGGCCCCTGGAGCTCACCTGCAAAATATCCCAGACAGAAATGCAAAGAGATGCTAGACAACCACTAGATGTAAAACCATTAGAAAGAGAAGCAGAAAGAGCACAAAGAGACAGACTGCATCTTTAAAAAGACTAGCATTCACTCGTAGGTCAGTGCTCAGGGGCCCATAATGTGAGTGCACGTTTACATACAGATTACATATTGAATGCACCTGTTAATGCCCTCGGTGCTGCTGATGTTTCGCTGTCTGCCTGGACAGACCATGGTAAATTGCGATTGTAAGACTAATCAAAACTTGGCAGAAAGCTGAACATTTGTGAAACGGCAAGCATTCGGAAACAAACGACCTGAAGGAGTGCACGTCATGTTTCACTGTGCATGGACTCCATCAGTTTGCCAAAAAGTGTACTGTGCCAATAATCACAACCTCATCATTTTTCCAGACCTCTGTTTGAGCACTCCCACTGTCACTAAACATCCTGCGACTTCTCATTATTCTGCCTCAGCGGGATGGAAGTGCTCTTCATGTCGACTCTGGCAGAATCCTCCCAAACACTGTGCCTGTCGCAGAGAGAAACAGCAGCCTGCAGACCAGCTTCATGCCTTCAACTGGCTCAGACACCTCACAAGTAACAGACGATACATAGGGAAAGGCCTTCTAATGAGGCTGTAGCATGCAGCACACACCAATCTCCAGAATGATTCCCTAGATATATAGATATTCAACAAACATTGTTAGTGTGATCTTGTTCATAAACCAGAGGAATGTTAAGCCTTCACTCTTTGTACCCAGGAAACTAGCTACCAGAGAATTCGTATGCAGCCACACAGAGAGTAACTTGCTCTGGTTATTTCAGTGTACTTTAGGTACTATTTCTGAAAGCCATATTTTATTTCTGAGTTGTTAGTTTCTGTTTGCAGAGACAAGCTAATGAATGACAAAGAATAAAAAGACTCCTTATGACTGACAGAGAAATGAAAACAGTTTACCAACAGAAAACAAAAAGATAAATCAAACAGGGAAGAGAAACAGACCACATTGTTAGGTTTGAACTTGTCATGCGGCTCACCGTATACTTCCACATGCATGGCGCACGCTGACCGGCCTGCAGCGCAGACTGCTCCAAGCTCAGAGGAGGCACATGGCTGCCAAGCATATGAAGTCTGCACTGCACAACACAAAGAGCTCTGCAATTTCTTCTTCTTGCTTACTGTTTCTGACTATGGAGACGCCGCTGACAGCTGATCGCACCTCCACACATTCAGAGTATTAATACTACACATTGTGTTTTAGTGAAACAATTAGTCACTTAATGAAGAACATTAGTGATTCTCTTATGAGCTGGTGAGTCAAATCAAACCTTTAACACCTGTAATGAAGATGTCTGAAGCAGAGAGCCTTGCAGAAGTGGCCCTGTGAGGCAAGAGGCTGGGAGTCGGAGAGTCCCGGCTTCACCTCGCCCCAGGACTCCTACAGCCCCAGGTCCTGGGGAGGGATTTTGGTGCAAAGTCACCTGTATTGTTGGGTAGAGGAAACTCTGCAGGCCTTGCACCAGGTGAATGATTGTACCAGCTGCTCCTGTCACAACAGTTCTCAACCTGGCAACCAAACATAAAGTCTCTTGGAAATACAAGGTCAAAGGTCCAAGTGAAGCAAAACCCTTAAAAACGGAAACTGCTTAACTCCTCTACATCCACAACTCTCCAGGTTTACTGAACTATGTTTGGTAAAACCAGATCCCTGCACAAACCACATGCCTCAGACTGAGACGGTCCTGTATCATGTTACCAGATTAGCCTGCTGTGGAAGTTTGTTTCTCTGTGCTGCTTTGCTGGAATGCAATTGATCTAAAAAGCCATTTTCATCTGCTTGGTCTCAGTGTATTGATCCACTATGAGGAGTGCTTCTCAGGAAACCCTCTTTGGTAAGTGTTTGGTTTTTGTCTCTGTTGCTCTCTGTGTCCACTGGGTGCTGTTCCGATTGGCAGCTGACGGCACTAAACACATAATGTGCCACATTGATTGTTGATTTGACTGGAACCTAGACTGGATGTCAATGCAGCTGTCTTGTGTTTAGTGGACTTTAGTGGAAGGCTTATGTCCCATGATAGGAAGAAGGGGTGCTGGGCCTATTTCTGTTAGCCTTCTGGTCCTGCTGTTTTTTAAAGTCAAGCATGTTCTCAGTGAGCACTGGGCTCCAGCACATTTGCAGACGTTGATCTGCTGGCTTCGTCAATATGAGATGGAGGAGAACCAGCCGAGCATGAAGCTGCGGCAGCATGCGTTCATGGTACTCCGGTGGACTGCAGCCCCAAGTGAAGACGTTTAAGTATCTTGTGGTCTTACTCTCAAGTGAAGGTAGATGGGTGTTTGACAGGCAGCTTGGCACGCCAGCTGCAGCTCAAAATGGAGCTGAACCTGAAGGTGAAGCTCCTGATTTATGTGGTGGTCACTGTTCTGACCCTTATCTACAGTCATGCATTTATTCAGAGTCCCCTAGAATCCCCCATGCTCGGTCAACATGCAGGCACCCCTTCCCTTCAGAAGTAACGACAGGTACCCAGCGGATGCACAGACCAACAGTGCTTCGCACATGGTTATTATCAGCATTGTGTTGCTGTCGTGACAGGGCCTGACAGATGACGTGCACAGATTGACGTGCCACATATTCAAACAGCCACTGACAGGTAAAGACGATGCTGTGATGTACATTTGATCACATTTTAATGTATTTTTCCTCTGTTGTTTGATGTGCTTTCAGTACCAGGCATGCTGCACCTTTTTGTGTTTAAACGTGCATAATAAATGTTAGAAGTGTGCACACACACACACACACACACACACACA